GGGGAGCGGCCGCAGCGACTCCCCTTCGGGGGGGCTGCTGAAGGAAAACGTTGGGCTTCCCCCAGCCCCGCCTGGGCCACTGCTGGCACGCAGCTGCGGTTCCTAAGGCCGGAGATGAGCTACGAGTGGTCCTGTTAGCCCAAAGCGATGCCGAAATTCTTCAGCTCCTGGCTCTTGCCTACAGCTCTAGCCTTGCTTTTTGGTATCTATCTACCCAGGATAGTGCTGTCTTAAGCCATCTGCTTCTATATTGGTTTTCCATAATAACGTAAAAGTTTATTGACCTGTAAGATGCTGTGGTTTCACCACACAATTAAGACTCCCTTCCCCCAGCGCTTGGCTCGGAAGCGTCTGACCTGCACAATTCGTCACCGAGGTCAACACTTCCAAAGCTCCCAAAAATGCGGGGAGGAAAATGTCATTATCCCATAAGGAGCCTGTGCGAGAGGCAGGACCCAGCCGCTCCCGGCTGCGCTGCTCCGCCAGAAGCCTCGCGGGTCAGAACTGCGGTTTGCAGCGCGACTCGGGCAAAAAAGCCCCTCGGCTCCGACGTGTTACTGCGCCTCCTGTAAAAGGGAGCTCCTGCTCCGGAGGGCAGCGTGACAGTACACCCCGGGGGCTGTACGTATTAGCACCAGGTTTCTTTCAACAAGACTCTTTTTACACCATCCAGCAGCTCACCGCAGACTCTTAAGCCTGAAACGCAGTGCCGGGATTGGGGATCATCCTCCCCGCCTGGGGCAGGAACAACTGGAGCGGGTCAGAAGTGCTGCCCTTTCCCCTGCTCTCACCTCACGCAGTTATCAAATTGTCTCAGAAGTAGCCCCCCAAATATTCACAAAATACGCAAAGATGAAGTTCTCTTTTCCATCTGATGCTTAAGAAAATAATTCACATTTCAGATATTCCTTTTTTTTTTTTTTCTTCTTAAAAGCAGCAAATCCATAGAAACCTAAATTTAGGAAGTGTTTCTTAAAGAACCAGAGGAAAGCGAGAAACAGTCTATGTGCTTGTGCAAAGAGAGTGCCAAGAGACACTGGGGTGGGGGCAAGGGAAGGGGCTAGTGCTAATTCCTTCAGGCTGTCCTGCCCGGAGTGCAGTCTGGCAAGGGAAAGTTAAAATTTAAGGGCCACAAATGGGTGAAGTTCTGAATTCTTTGGTCCTTCAGTGTAAGTTTTAAAACAGAGAAACTGTTTTACTCAAAAGGGAAAAAACGTGCTTTCTCTGGCCTAGAATGGTCCTTGTACCCCCCTGCCTGAGCAAGGCGCCCCCAGGGGAGCGGGGGGCAAACATCTCCTCCCCTTGAGCCCCAGAGCTGCCGTGGGGGACCAGCTTCGCCCCAGGGCAGGGACAAAGCCAGGTCCCCTCTGGGAAGCGGATGCCGCCACGCAGCCGGGTGCCGGAGGGCTCTGCAAAAGGGCAGCCCCAGAGGGAGGCAGGAGAGCGGAGAGGCCGCCCCGCTGCGACCAAGCGGTACAAACCAATAGCCAAACCGGGCTGAGCAGCTCTGGTTCCTATAAATATTAAAAGACCTGATTCAAGAGTTTATTTCCTATGATTTAAGTTAGTTACAAAAACTTTTTAGTGAATTTTTATCTTAATTGGGCTTTTTCCTCCTCCCCCCACTTTTTTCTTCTTTTTTTTTTTTTTTTTCTAAAAAAGAAACGTTCACGTATTTTAATAAAAGGTCTTCCCTTAAGATCAGACCAAGGCAGATGCGCTGCCCCATGGCACAGACATTCAAAGGCTATAACCAAACAACATAGCCACAATAGTCACTCAACAGTGTCTCTCCATAAAAAAAAAAAATTAAAAAAACTGATGCTAGTTACAATAAAATACACATGGAAAAAAAAAAGCATTTTTACCAAAAAACCCAAAAACAAGTTAATGGGAAAAACATAAAAAAGAACTACACAGAGCTGCACTTAAGAGATCATCTGGGAATGCATATTAACCCCTTCCACGTGAAGGAAAGGTGGAATTATGGAAGCAAACCTAATTATGTCTTTGCATTAAATCTGAAGCTTTCTGAGAGGCTCCGGTAAAAATTCAGTTTTCCTACAACAGTGGGCTGCTGGAGGTTCCAGTGCTTTTCCAGGTCAGGGAGGGGTAGCACAGGCAGCATCCCCGTGCAAAATAAAAAGGTTTAGTCAACCGAGTGGCCTTTTGGTTGAGATCCCAGCAGGTTACTGCAATCCACCTGATGTAAAAATCCAATGGACGCACCGGTAAAGAAAGTCACAGGAAAGCTCAGCTACTGGACAGGTCGAAGCTGGTGGCGTTTCTCTGTCACGCTGGACTTTCTCTGTCACCACGGGCATACGTGATCTCTAGCACGAGGGCTTCTGGACCCAGCAGTCCACAAAGCATCCTCGAGGTGCTGACACGGGCAACGCGGACTCTGGTCAACAAAAGTGTCCGCAGACTACCTGGCATCGTTTCACGCATCCAGCAGTGACTATGAATCAGGTCCCTGGGGCTAAGACAAAATTAATCTGGTCTGAAGCAGTAAAAAGTCTCTAGACAGCCACCAGACAAAGGGGTGCCTGGCGAGGACTAACCTCTGCATCCATATTTCTTTCCGAAAGGGCTTTAGCTGACACAAGGGCAATACTTCTAAGGCTGCTCGCACGTTAGCTGGATCAGCAATCAACACTAGTCACTGAATTTTGGGGCTTGGCTTGCTCTAGGTCCAATATGTTTTTTTTTTTCCCCTCTTTTCTTCTTTTCATACAAATATACAAAGAGTGTAAAAAAATTTAAAAAGCGAACTTTGCTGATTAAATGACAGACAAAGTTCCTGCACGTTCAGAGATCGGCAACGTGAGGCCCACCAGGCAGGCACCCAGCGGAGCTTCCATCAGGGAGGACGGCTTTAACCAAGCTGGGTCAGTGAAAGAGCAGGGAGACCGAAGACATGAACAAGTCATTTCAATCCACCTCGATCCTCCCCGTGATCTCAACTCTTCCTCTGGAAAGCACATGGAAGCCTCTCTTGCCCACTCTAAATCCTTCTGGAAATAGTCAAAAATTTGTTATCACCTAAATAGAAAAGAGGAGAAACACAGACTCTTTGCAAATGGCCCTTTGATCTGTATTAAAAACAGCTCTCAAAGTTCCTCAAGAGTTAGAATTAGTGGGGCAGGGGTGAGGGGCAGTTTAGATACGGGATGTAAAATATTAAAAAGTGCTCTGCAACTAATTTTTGTTTTATGTGTGTATGTGTGTGCGTGTGCATATATATACATACACAAACAGGCACATACACACACATATATACATATATATACATACATATATGCATGTACACATACATATATATGTACGTATGTATAAAGTTAAAAAGATCTATACGATATGATTAGAACAAGTGTCCTTGGAAGGTCACGACTGGAGAGAGTGGGGCCTGTTGGGATGGCAGATGGGGCACTCCCCCTCCTCGGCGCACGTTTCGCACAGCACTGCGTGTTGACACGGTAACACCACCCGGTTCTCCTCCTGACACTTAAGGCATTTCACTGACTGCATCTGAAATACCGCCTGCAAGAGAGAGGGACAGGGCAAAACGTAAGCATCGAAGTCACCAAGCAAAAGGGCTCCCGGCCTGTGCTACGCAGTCTGGGGAACAGCAAGGAGGCAGCAGGGGAAGGACTCGCAGCTGTCTGCCCATTCATCTTCTGAAGCAAAAGCAAAGCAGCACAGCATGATGTCTTTTAGGGCCTTTAGGATCAACAGAGCAGCTTTGATTGACTTAAACGCTGTACCGTAGGTACAAAGAAGAGGTAGGTATTTTCCTGTAAGCTGGCTAAAACTCACTTTGGCTACATCCACATGGAATGTGGCTGCCGATTTCTGGCTGTATTAAAGAAAAGGGAATAAAGCTGCGATCTGTAGGAGCAGAGAGAGCAAGGCCCTGCCCTGCGAATCCCTGGCACTCACCTTATCGACTTTCTCCAGGTTTGCCCGCAACTGTTTCTGAAGGGTGTAAAGCGAAGAGAGGGAGAGCGTTTCCAGGTCAGAGAAGGAGCGCAGAAACTGAGGGTCCTGGCCTGTGTGGATCCTCTCCAGCTCCTCCTGCAGTTTCTTCACTTGCAGCTCCAAGGCTTCCCTCTGCTCCCGGGCCAGTTCACATTCCATGTTAGCTGTGTTGGCGCGATCATTTGCTTCCTCTGCCTCCTTTTTCCAAGCATCACAAGCCTACAAGTTTCGACAAAGAGGGTAAAGGAAGCAGTCTGAAAACTCGGTCAGCCTCCAAAAGAGAATTCCAGGCAAAAATATCCATTTCCATACACTCCTCACCAGGAGCGTGTTCTGTCCAATCTGCCCTGTTCCCAAATTCTGACACATCCTTGGAGCTTCGCTTCAAAGCGCTGCTCATTCCAGACACCCCATCTGGTTGGGCTGTGGTTCTACAGATTTGGCTCACACCGTCAAGGGGATGAACTCCGCATACTGGCAAATTGTCACGGACCTAAGTCAATTGGCAGGTCTAAGAGACTGTCAAGCCCGTCAGTGCATCTGTTATGACACCCGGCCTTGCACTTCCAGCATGGGAACACATCAGGCACAGTGATTCAGTCCCCCGTTCCAAGGGAGAAGAAAGAATAAGAATGCTTAAGAGAATCTGTTTGTAAAACCTACAGCTCTTCACATCACCTCAATGTCTGGAAAGCTCCTGTTGAAAGGCTGACACCCTCCTGCTCCTTTACACTCCCTGATCCCTCTTCCCAGGAGTTGCCCAAGTACCTGTTTGGCTTGTTTCCAAGACTCTTCCCACTGCTTTATTGTGCCGTTGGCCTCATCCAGTTCTTGCCGTAGCCGTGCCAGCTCCGCAGCACCTGGACCTGACAGAAATGCAGGTGAGGTACTGGGCGAAAAACTCCCCGAAGCAAAGTGTTCCCATATGCTGCTGTTCATCCCATTTAAACCTGTTTCACAGGGAAATAGAGAGGGTTATGTCACAGGTGCTGGCAATTTCCCCATTTCCTCCCTACCCCTGTGAAATCCAGGATTCAAAAATATGTACATGGGAAAGAGAAGATCATCTTAAGAATTACTTTCAGCCCCAGGACCCAGGAGTCCATCACAGAGGGACTTTATAGGTGGAAGTTTCACACCATTAGGCCTCACCTTTAATGACACGGGGAGGACCCAAGAAAATGAGCGGAGGCAACTTTTGAACCAGGCTGTTTTTAGAAGCGTCTATTTTACAGCCGAGCTGCCTACCAGCTTGAATCCCCCCCTCACATGAGAGCCTCTGAACTGTGTACTACCCTCCCACCCTTCTGTGCAGCACAGCCATCAGCGTTGGTGAACAGACTGGTTCACAGAGCCAACCCAGGTGGTGCTTTCTCTCACATTATACCCTAAGAAAACTTCTTGTTTTGCCTCCTCAGCTTGGCGCTTAGAAAAGGAGTCTCACTTCCCAAACAGTGAGACTGAAACGTGCCAACGTCATTACTGTTTGCATATGCAAGAAACAGCACTAACTGGAAAACCCTGTTTACAAACAAGCGGAGGCGATAGTATACACCTCAGCTTCATCCCCTGCAGAGTTCTAGCACAAAGCTAGCGATCGGCACCGGAGAAGGCTGACTAACCACCTCCCTCTTTTAGCTTGTTCAAGTAATTTCTCTTTTCAGGAAGAAATTCAAGGCTTAGGAGACAAAGCAGTAGAAAACTAGTTGTAAACAAAACTGGCTATTTCTCACAGACTCTAAGGTTTGTACTCTTTTAATAACAAAAATATTTTTACTTAAAATAAACATCCATACTTTGCACTCCCGGGAGAACCAGTAGGAGAAGCTCATATTGAGACCGAGTTACTGAGTGATGTGGATTCTTGTGCACGCAGACATGCCCCGCTTTGATGCAAGAGTCATTTTGTGCTCGGCACTGGGTGTGGACGCTCCTAAGTCTACTTGCGTTTGATAATTGTGATCTTACAGCTGCCAAACTGACTGTGTCTGCAAGCGAGCCCTGGAGCCAAGGGCCTCTCACTGAGGGCTAACCCAGCACCACTTACTGCCCATTTAGTACCAGCCAAGACACGAACAGTTACAAAAAGTACAGCTGAAAAATAGCAACTTGTCTTCACTAAGGGCTGAGGTGCATTAACAAGTCACTTAGAGCAGCAAGGGTCCTCGCTGGCTTGAGCCACTTACCACAGATCTATTTGAGCTGCTCTGAAGCACGCTCGGCTGAGAGCAAGACGTTTTAATGGAACCCCAACTCACATATTGTTATTAAAGCTCCAGTTTTCTTGAAAGGGAATCTAGCACTAAGCAGGACGCTGGCAAGCCACAAATTCTGCCATAATGCTGAGCAAGCCTCTCTCGTCATTTCTTTTTACTCTCCACCTGCTGTTCCCATTTCACATTTGAAGTAGCAAGCCCCTCTGCTCAGGAACGCCTTCTCTGCACATTTTGCATCTAGCACGGTGGGAACTAGCCCAGGCCTAGGTATTTTTAACTCAGTTGCAATACAAATAAGTAATAACTACGCACATTACACACTAACTTATGTGCATTCAGCAAGTCACATGGAACAGATAGATTCCAGATTCCCAACTGCTAGGTTACTATTTAAATATCTTATCAAAATCTCAGCAAAAATGGTTTTGTTGGATTACAGGAAAATACCTAACTTTTTTCTTAAAAATCAAGTATTTAAATGCATTTGTGAATTTCCTGCATTTCTTTTTTTTTTTTATGTAACTACATAGTCAATACAAATATAACTGCTTAACTTGTTTCTTCTGAGATTAAAAGCAGTCTTTATCAGCAAGTTTTCTTTTCTTACTGAAACTGGGATGAACAGCCAGCCTCAACACTAATTAATAGCAGAGATAGCCTCTGATGTCTCTTTTCTTGTTACAGTAATTGTAAAAGCTGTTAAAGCCAAACAAACAGCGCTCACAAGGCATGGAAGCATGGTTTTGGCCTATGCAAACAAGGGATGCAGTTACACAGATAAGTGCACGCACAAATAGATTACAAAAGCATGCAATCATGTTATTAGGTTAAGCTGAATATTAAAGTGTATCTCAAATTTGAAGAAGGATTTATGTCTACTATCAATAGAGAGAACTAGTATTTACTGTTACTAACAGAAATCAGCAGAGCCAGTGTCACTGGAGCCTTGAGCCCATCAAACAGTTTTATTTCTCAAGGTAACCCTGCGTCTTGATAATAAAATAGATTTGGCCCCTCCGTTCCCAGCTCTGCCTGATACAGCTGAAGCTCCAAAGCAATTTCTCATCCCTTCACAGTCCCTCATACAGGAAACAGATCCGCAAGAGGGGGAAAGGGAAAAAAAAAAAAAAAAAGCAGAGGGGACAAAGCTGGAACACTGTAACTGCTTGCAAAATCCACACTGCAAAACTGCATGGGGAGTGCCAAATGGGAGAAAAAAGTACAAGGACCCAAGTCTGCTCTAGAGCTCCCAGAAGCCAATCTGACCTACAAGCAGTCCCAAGGGCAAACTGCAACCCCCGCCTTAACTAAGCAAAGCTGAGGACCCAGCTCTGAGTTTTATGTAAAGTCTCAGCACAGCATTGTTGTCAGGAAAAGGCAGAGCTCTTTTCTCTGAAAGGCATCATCAGAGCAAGTCACTTAACCCATCTGTCTCTTTTTCTCCGCCTAGAAACACAGGAAGTAAAGGGAATTGCTCCCTTGTTCATAAGGTATTAGCTGATTTTCGATAAAGCAGCTTCTAGTACTGTTGCTGTTTTCATGGGAAGAAGAGATACAAATGGCAGCAGTGAAATAATACATTAAAATTAAAGCTAACTTAAAAGAAAATACTTACATGGCACAGACAGGCATGTACATGGGACACACACACTGTGCATTTACCTAATGATCCATGAGAAGCTGATGTCCCCAGGAACGTGTTTTCTGATTGGCTTAAGTGTCCCTGGGGCTGATGGAGGAAATGCGATGAGAGGCTGACCGGTGGAGAAGGAGAGGCAGAGTGAAAGGAGGCAGAGCTTCCAAGGGACCCGGGGATATTTACAGGAGCAGAACTTTGCAGCAAACTCCCACCTGGACAAAGAACACACAGAGAGGATGGCTATGTATGACCGCGAAGCACGGGCCAGAGCACAGCGCAGGAGTTCAGAGCAGAAGGCGTTAGCTTCCCTCTCTCCTTCCTAAGCCCCTCGGGATTCCCTCCGCTCCTCATCATGTTTCGTTCCCCTCTCAGCCTTTAAGAAGAGCACTGAAGATGCCCTCCCATGAACCAGGTAGGTTAAGACCCTCCAGAGTTCAGCGGACTACTCTTTCATCGGCCAAAGCAACAAAAGGTTTTTTTGAGCAGAGTTCAGTCCCTATCAGTCCAGAGAAGATGAATTTGGTATCTGGTGAAATGCTTTGTCATGAAAAATTCATTTCTAAAACATGTTCCTCTGCCTTTAATACTTCCAAACCACCTGGAGGGAGAAGACTGTCATGCTGGGTCAGGTCACGATCTTAACCACTAAAAATCAGTGACTAGCTTTAGTCATTTGAGACCTACTTGAGTGCCTGGATCTATCAGTGATAAAAAACCCCAAATAAAGCAAAGCCCAACCTCCAAAGACATCACACTTCCCTTACACAAGAGGTCATTCTGTCTGCCACACACAGCTTGAGGGAGATCTCAGCCCTGCTCCCCACTCTCTCCTGATCTCCCTTCTTAGAAGATCACCAGGTAACAGCCAGACCTGACGTGAACAGAGGGAAAAGCAGCGTGGAGGATCTCTGAGCCACCGCGACGGGTAGCGGCAGAAGCAGGGCTATCAGCAGACGTGCACAGTGAAGTCCCCAACCAGGCCCTTATCTTTGGCAGGGAAGTGGAAGTGATATTCTTTAGGGTTCCTTCCACAGGTCCCTTCCTACCTCGGTACAGCTCCAGGCAGCGTAGTTCCCCTGGAGACCTTCAGACCACCAAAGTTAGCTCTCATTCAAAACCTGTCTTACGCAGCAGGGTAGCCAGAAACTACAACCACTTCCAAAAAGTTATGAGACATTTCGTTTTTTCCCTGGACACTCATTAGAGATGGGCAGAAGAGGCCTTAGCCTACCTCCACGTATTAAAATGAGACAGACATTCCAGGAATCAAATCAGCAGACCATGACGACACTCTGTGACAGATGGATAGCATTACCAGGTCAGCGAGTTTCCTGTTACTGCTAGGGAGAGTTTTCTGCTTAAGATGCAAATCGTTACACTTTGGCCTGTTTTTAAAGGTATCAGATGCCTTCTAGAGTCTACTTACACACTTAAAAAAAAAAAAAAAAAAAAAAAAAAAAATCAAGCAAGTCCCATTCAGTCTCAAGAAACATCCCGAAAGACACCTGGGCCCAATGGCAAGAACTCAGCTCTGCTAGTCAACAAGGGCAAGCTTTCACTTCAAAAGATGCTCAGCGGTTGCCAGAGTTTGTTATAATTGCTGTTTTAACCAATGTTATTTTGGGACTGGTTTTAGAGCTTTGCTGGGCTGGCTCCACTGAGGTGACTGGGCAACACTGCTTGGCAGAAGATAAAGAAAGCTCTGTTGCTTTCATGTACCTATCATGATGCCACTCGTGTGGGGCACTGTGCTGCTGTCAAATGTCTTCTCCAGGGCAGCCACTCCGAATTCATTCAGGTCCAGGTCATCCAAGGCAGACTCTGCCAGACACAGAGGTACCAATTATGTTATAAAGGACCAACAACTTCAAGAGATAGGATGGCCCAAAGAGCCTACATGCAGAGGAGCCTTCGCTCTCTATTTGTCAGCCTGCGCAGCCCTACTCTCCGCCCTGTGCAACGCTGTTCTTAAACGGTTTGGCAGAAGCGTCATGGGCAGCTTTTCAGTTCAGGTTCTTTTGCCTGATCTGATTTCTTTTTGTCTCAAAGTATTCCCAAATGTTATACGAAAACAAAAATCTGATGAAATAACAGCAGTTCCCATAAGTCTTCCCCAAACTGCTCTTTCAAGTCTGTCCATAATATGCAATAACACTGGCTTATGACATGTCTGGGTCTGGCTTGTGCTTTGTCCCTGCTTTGCTGAAGAGCCACTCAAGAAATACCAGTAGATGGGAACACTTGAAAATCATCTCTGAGGTTCAAAGACGGGGTAAAATAAAGAAAGCTTATGAACGCCTGCAAACGTTGTATCTATTTGAACATGCCTCATCACTAATCATGATCAATATAATTCCATCCCACACATGCCCACTCATTTCTATTATTAGTTTTAACAAATTAGTGAGATCACCTCAGAAACGTTAGATTAAAAAAAAACCAAAAAAAACCACCCCAAAACCACAAGCAGGTGACCAAAAGCCTGCACCTATCTAAAAGGAGTGATTCTACTCTCTGGACTCTCCTGTTCTCCTTTTTCTTACAGCCTCTGTCCCACACTCTATGAAGGGCCAGTCCTTGCAATCTGCCTGGTGGTAGCCCTTGCTATAAAATTGTCATTTAGAAGGTACGGGGTTGTAACTGTGGAAAATGCCCCTCTGATTTCCTGCCTACTCCAAGACCTCTTTGTCACTTTGACAAACCTAAAACTAAGGCCCTTTACACCATCTGACATTCTGAATTAAGCGGCCCAGAGGCCTTCTGTTGGTCCCGTGGGTGAATTTCATCCGTAATGACCTGCAGAAAACATCAGATGTGTCACAGTCACAGAAAAAGCTTACAGCCTCAGGAATCTGCCAACACTGACAGAGACGAAAAACTGGAGTTCACTGGAACACCCATGGCTATTCCAAGTCTCATACCTGGTGATCCACGGCTGAGGAAGCCCTATTAGCATAAGTAAAAAAGGCGAAGTTACCTATGACAGACTCAACGGTGTCACTGGTTGGGTAGAAAGGAAGGGCATTGGCATTCATGCCTGGTATGCTGCTGGTGCCGGCAGGGCTTGGTGGTGTCGCAGCCAGGCTGGAGGTGATGCTAGAGGAGATGCTGGATGTCAGCGGGCTCCCCACTGGGAGAATACCCAGTATGTCCTGAAACGAGAGTT